GTTCAGTTCATTTACATTTAGGGTGATTATTGAAATGAGGTCTTCTTATAGCCATTTTATCTTCTGCTTTCTGGTAGCTCGTTGTTTCCATTGCTTCCTTGTCCTTGTGCTTCTGTTTTGTTTTGTTTTGTTTTTATTTTGGTTGGCTTTTGTGGGTTTTCCCTCTGGTTCTCCTTGTTTTATGTTATATATTTCAGTTCTGAGTCTTTGGCGTGTGGGTTACCATTATGAAAAGGATAGTTATATATATATATAGTTGTCCATTTTCTTCTGCACGTGCCTTGTCTCCTCTCCTCTTTGTGAATTTGGATCTTTGAATCCTCCCCTTTTCAGTATTTGTTATCTCAATTTGTCCCTATGTGTGCTGAACTTTCATTACTATCATGCTATAGCAATTCTGTTATTAGTTAAGCTTATAATGCCCTGTTCTTAGTAAAGATTGTACTTCTCTGCTTCTATTTGCCTGATATTCACTTTTACTCCTAATTATGTTTTTTGTAGGTTTTGTTTGTTTGTTTGTTTGTTTTGTCATTTTGTTTTAGGTGCGCTGACCCCTTTCTGTATTTCCTGTAGTGCAGGCCTTGTAGTGGAGAATTCTCTCAATTTTTGTATGTCTGGAAAGGTCTTAATTTCTCCTTCATATCTAAAGGAGAGCTTAGCTGGATACACTTTCTAGGTTGGTAGTCCTTTTACTTAATAGTTTAAATATTTGATTCCATTCTTTTCTGGCTTGTAACGTCTATGCTGAGAAGTCCAATGATAATCTAATGGGTTTTCCTTTATAAATTACCATTTTCTTCTCCCTGGCTGCCCTGATAATTCTATCTTTGTTGTTGATTTTTGATAACTTTAATACAATGTATCTTAGGGAAGGCCTTTTTGGGTTGAGATAATTGGGTATTCTGTTGACTTCTTGAATTCCAAGTTCCAGCTCATTCCTGAGATTTGGGAAATTCTCATCAACTCTTTGTTTGAAAATGCTTTCTAGTCCCTGCTCCTTTTCCTCACCTCCGATAATGCCCATTATTCTTATGTTTCCTCAGCTAGTTCTTGTATTTCTCTTTCATTATTTTTCATTCTTTGGTTTCTCTCTTCTTCTTTGTGGTTCATTTCTAGATTTTTGTCTTCGATATCACTGATCCTCTCCTCCATTTGGTCGACTCTGTTTCTCAAGCTTGCCATTTCGTTTTTCAACTGTTGCAGTGTGTTTTTTATCTTCAGAATATCTATTCTGTTCTTCTTGAAGGTTTTGATCTCCTGGCCCTGCTCATCTAGTTGTGTTTTCAATTCTTGAAATTGTTGATATGACTCATTTCGGTTTTCACTGAGTTTTTTCAGAAGTACCATCCTGAATTCTCTGTCATTTAAGTAGCATATTTTTATGTCTGTAAGCTTACTTTCTGGATATTTTTCTCTTTCTTTCTGAGATGCCTTGTCACCTTGGTTGTTCATGGTGTTTAATGGACTATTTCTACTCCTGGGCATTAATGGAAGTGTATTCTGTTGTTTTTCCAGAAAGAAGATTTATTCTATAAAGGTCTCTCTTTAGCCTGCTGCAAAAATTTGCTTTTCTTTTTGTTCCCAGTAGGTGATGTCTAAGCCTCTTGGATCCTTGCTTTTTATAAAGCCTAAATAATGTCTTTTTTAATTTTCTTGTAGATATTTAATCACACTTGCTATTCTCAGTTTCAGTCCCTATCATTGTTAGCAACTGTTTTGGTAGCATTTGCTCAGATTCCCCTGGGGCTCTGTGGTGACGGCTGTCTGAGGGTATGGGGGGCGGGGCCCTCTGGATTGGGAGTTGGGGGCTGTGTGGCTTAGCCTCAGTTTTGCAACCGCGGCCGGTAGAAGTCAACTGTTTGTTTTTCTGTGGTCCCGTTCTGCCGCTCTGCTTTCTGCCCTGCTTCTGGCTGCGTGGAAAAGTCCCAGCACTTCCAAGCAGTGCTGTTCAGGGAAGTCGCTGCATCTTCACCCCTCCCCTTCCTCGTGCTAAGAGCTCCATAAGCTGTGAGAGGCACTTTCTTTATTTCTCCCAGTCCACTGCCCGACACTTGGGGTTCTGACCTGTGGTAGTTCTTATGCGCAGATCTCACACTCAGATATGCTGGTGTGCAGTTTGGCTGTTTTTTGTTCAGTTTTAGATGTTCAGCTTATTGTTGTTTCAAGGGAAGAGATATGAGGACGTCTCTCACTCCGCCATGTTTTCCCAGAATCTCAAATAGGTGTTTTTTATATGTAGTTTTTTAGTTTTTCTGCAATTGAGTTTGTAAAAATAAATTTTTGTGCTTTCCTTTTAGAATGCCATGTATAAATCTGAAACCTCATTTGCATTACATTACAGGCTGACCTCTGTGTCCCTCGATTGAATGAAGGGGACCAAGTTGTACTGATCAATGGTCGGGACATTGCAGAACATACCCATGATCAGGTTGTCCTGTTTATTAAAGCTAGCTGCGAAAGACATTCTGGGGAACTTGTACTTCTAGTTCGACCTAATGGTAAGTACTCTATGCAGCACTGGATATTTTTCATAATTTGTTAGTATTTATTACTAGACATGGCAGTCAGAGTAGGCTTTTTAAAACGGAAGTCCTGTCATGTCAGTTTCCTACTCAAAGCACAGCGACTTCCATTCACACTTGGAGTAAAATCTGAATTCCTGACCTCCGTGCCTACCATTCAGCCTTGCTCACTCTCCTCTATTCTGTGCTGGTTTTCTTGCTGTTCCCTCTGCCTAAAACACTCTTATTGATTTTTGTATGATTTATACCCTCATTTGCTTTAGGTCTCTGCTCAAATGTCACCCCCAGAAAGTCCTTCTTTCCTGACTACCAAAGCTGAAATGGCTTCTCTCTTCCCCCATTTGCTCTAGCAGTAGTAATAGGTACTCAATAAATAGTTAAATGAATGAGTAAATTTTGAACTCTGTTCCACTTTTAGAGAACTCTATAACAAGCTGTAGTTAAAACATTTTTTGGAAATCCTGCCTTTATTTTCATTATGATAATGCCCAGTAAACCTAATCATATCATCTCCTGCTCTGGACAGCAGACTAGTTAATTCATAGACAAGAGGCTCAGGCTTGGAGAAACCTTAATACTGTAAGCACTGGATCCTTTGCTGACTACTGGAGTTTCTCTACAATAGTCTCAAGAACATCCCACCTATGTGGAACACTCATGGCTCTTGAAGCAGTTCATTCCCTCTTTGGATAGGTTGAACTATTAATTGAGTTAAAAATCCAACTTCCTTCAGTCCTATTATTCCTAATTCTGTCACTTTGTGGTACATACAATAAACTTAATGCAGAATAAGTTTAATCCCTCTGCCTTCAGTTTTTTGACAGTAACTGATTTTACCAGAAACCCTCCCCCTTTCTCCAGTTTAAGAGCCAGTGTTCCACATAGCATTGTTTCAAGTTCTGTCAATATTCTCAGTCTCTTCTGTGAAAAAAAAAAAATGCTTGTAGATACATTCTTCTAGATTTTTCTAAATAGTTTACTGTTCATCATAGTTTTAGCCACAACAGTAATTATTGGTTAATGCCATGTTACCAGTTGTTGAAACAGTACCATAGGGAAGTAAAATACAATTAGAACTCTATCTCCCATCACATCCAACCGTGTAAAATTTTACAAGAAAAAAAACCACAAAACTTATTTTGCCTGTCGGGTACAATAGGCATTTTTATTTTATCTTCTCTACTTCATATTTTTCAGTTTTCATGGTCTAAAATTCGCTTTCTAGGAAAATTCAGAGGACTTCAACAGAACATTCTATTTTGACTTTTCAAGGAACTCATTCAGTTAGACTTGATATTTGGGTGATTCATTATTAGGCATTTTACGTCACATAAAGCAACTTAAATTTTTTACTAAGAATAATATTCTCTATTTTCTATTTTTTTCTTTATAACAGATACTAAAGAACTTAACAATAATAACAATAATAGCTAATATTTTTTAAATGCTTCCTATGCACCTGGACTCTTTCACATATTCTCATTTAATCTTTATAGCCATCCATTGAGATAAATGAATTATCCCCAATGTATGGTTGAAGACATTTTGGCACCAAGACATTCAGCTCACAAATTCATGACTAGTACAGACCCAGAATATGAACAAAAGTCCATATATTTGAAAAGTCATGCAATTCCAAATAACCTAATTTACACTTTAAATTAGGAGAAGAACCCTCCTAGTGCTTACTTCTTGACAAAAGAGCTTTCTAATTTTAGTCTCAAAATCTGGACTAGGACCTGTATTCACTTTCAGTGTGGGTTTATCATGTCCATCTTTATTTAAAGTAACATGCAACGTGTCCTGAAATAATGTTTCATTCAATGTCGCTTTGTTTTAATGTTGATGAGAACAAAGAAAACGATTCCCATTCTGGGCCATTGTCTGTATGAAGTTTGCACATTCTACTTTTCTCTCCTTGAGTGTTTTCTGGGGACTCCTATTTCTTCCCACATCCCACAGACGTTCACATGAGATGGATTGGCATGTCTGCATTGTCCCAGTCTGAGTGAGTGTAGGTGTGTGAGCATGCCCTGAGCTGGAAGGGTGTCCTGTCCAGGGTGGGTTCCCCCCTTGTGCTCTTAGCTGCCAGGACAGGCTCTGGCCACCCTCAACCATGAACTGGAATAAGCAGATTGGAAAATAATTATCTTACTTGTTTTTATTTATCTTTATTAAATGTATGTCTAGCTCACATTTATTTCAGCGTTTAATATTAGAAGTATTTTGAATCTTTATTTAGAAGTTTGATGATGTTTTTGTGACCAGAAATATGTTGTAGGAACTTAACTCTAGTTTATATCATTTAGCCTATGGTAAAATCAGTTCCAATATATGTTGTTTTGCTTAAAGTCTCAGTTTCTAAGAACCTATCAACAACATTAACTGAGGACTTTCTGTATAATCAAAATTCTAAATTATGTTTGTTGAAAATATTAGAAAAACAAAAAAGTTGTTTTTCTGATCTTTTCCCCTTTAAATCTTATTTCTTCTTAGACAAAATGCATTCATACCATGTTGTCTTTTTGTTCTTCATTTCAGAAATTTATTTTCAAAAGCACATACATATCTGAGCAGGAACTAAACATCTTAGACAAGGGCACAAGAGACCCCTAGCTTGGCTCCATCCTTTAGAGGGCTGTATTCTGGCTCTCCTTCAACTTTGCCAACCTCTCACCACCATGGGGATCAGGATCTAGCAGGAGCAAGGAGGCGTGCCAGGTCATCACCCATGACCTCCCTTTCCTTTTTAGACCACTTTTTTCAGCCCTCAGTTTTCTGTCCGAATAGCTCTGAGTCCACTCCTGGGCCTCTGTGGCCATTTTCTTCAGGTCCATTCTCCCAAAGTGGCTCACATGATGTATGTACCCCTAGGCCAGCCGGGTGGCTAAGAGAAAGCAGTTTGCAGAGGTGTGTAGAACAAGCTTACATATGGACGGGGATGTTCACGCATGTGTTCATAGCCGCCCCCCCCCCCCATGTTTAGGTATAGAGCTGAGGGTGGGGAAGAAAAATTAAGGGTGGGCTTTAGGCCAGATTCTAGAGTCTGGCTCTCTTTAAAGTACTGTGACCCTGAATTTTGGCCTAGATTCTCATTTGAAATCTGACCTCCCAGGTTGTTTCGTAGATATGCCAAAGAAAGAGGATAAAACATTTTGCCTAGCACTTTGTTCAGTTTATTTGTAACCTTTCATACCTAGATATATGGTATATAAGTCTCTATTTGTACTCTTGCCCTAGGTCCCACAAATTAAGGTCAAGTCTGTTCAGAGATGCTTCTTGGCAGCTTCTCTTTTTCTTAATATCTCTCCAAGTTATAGACATTTTTGGCAGTATGGCCAAGAATACTTTTTTTCTCCAAAGGTATAGTAGAGTTCTTCAACTCCACAATCACTTTTCATCCCTACAACGTGGCACCAGACTCAGATCTGATGAATTGTGAACATATAAATTATTTTTCCTGACACATAATTGAGGAGAATATATGGTAAATTCCTTTCATCAATTAAGATTTCTCTCTGTCTTTTTTTGTATTTTTTGTTGTTGTCTTAGCTGTATATGATGTAGTGGAAGAAAAGCTAGAAAATGAGCCAGACTTCCAGTACATTCCTGAAAAAGCCCCACTAGATAGTGTCCATCAGGATGACCATTCCTTGCGCGAGTCGATGATTCAGCTAGCTGAGGGCCTTATCACTGGAACAGTCTTGACACAATTTGATGTAAGTAATATTGTATGGTTTCTTAATTGCCTTATCTATCAGTTATAATTTACAAATTAAAATGGTATTGAGATATATTTGACATAAAAAGAGTTCTATAATATAAAGTTGTTTAAATTGCTCCCAAAATAACAAGATATGGTTACATAGATATCTATTCAAAAGAGAGGAATAAAGAGATTTTATACCTATGTCATCAAACTAAATTCTTTTCTGTAATTAAATAGCTGTTTTTACGAAAGCTGGCGGATGAAGATAGGCTATTGTAGACTTAAAAATATTGAATTAAAGGAAAATAACTTTTGTACTTTGTCATATTTAATACATCTCTAATTTTTGTCAGTGTAGTTGACCATCATTAATATTTATTGCTCTAAAATATATGTTATAGATAAGTGACTATAAAACATTTGTGACTAAAAAACATTTAGAGTATGTCAGTTTTTCTTTTAAAAATTTCTTGGTTCATACCCTATAAATATCTGCAAGCTCAATGAAAGCTAAATGTCCTCTGCAGATTTGCTATTCAAACTTAAAGTACTATTTTGCTGCAACCAAAATTGTTTTCACTTGTTTTACCATTCTTCAAAATCTGATACATAGTTCATGTAAGAAATGGTGTAGAATTCAGCTCTGCAAATCTGGTTTAATAACTTACGAGCTAGCATAAGATACATCATTTTATAGATGAGGTATTTTAAGGAAAAAACTTGTTTCTTGTTAGTATAGAAACAAGTCTGAAAAACAAAACAGAACTCTTGATGGCTTGCTGAACTTGTACTTTTTTTTCTTTTTTAGCAACTATATCGGAAAAAACCTGGAATGACAATGTCTTGTGCCAAATTACCTCAGAATATTTCCAAAAATAGATACAGAGATATTTCGCCTTGTAAGTATCTATTATCTCTATATATTAATTTTAATCTTTTTAACATAACTTTATTAGAACATTCTTTTTTTGAAATTTTTTCAGATGATGCTACACGGGTCATTTTAAAGGGTAATGAAGACTATATCAATGCAAATTATATAAATGTAAGTTTACTTTTTATTATGTCATTGTCATTGGTATTTGAAATTTATCCTCTTTTTAAAAGCCTAACCTTGAGAGAATATTAAAATGTTCAAATATTGAAAATATTATAAAATTAATCTTAAAATATAGTTTGGTACTGGCATATTAACATAAACATAGAGCAGTGAAATAGAATGGTCTAGTCTTGAAATAAAGACTAGAATTTTGTTTATGATAGAGATAGCCTTTTAAGTCATTGAATATAAAACAGATTATCTAGAGAATAGGTAAGGTCTACTGTCTAGACTATCTCATTATAAGGAGGTCCCCCACCCCTTGGGGAAAAAAAAATTATTACTTTTTTCCTTAACTTTGTAATACAGAAAATTTCAAACATGCAAAAGCAGAGGAAAAAATAGCATGAACTTCAGTATACACATCACTCAGCTTCATCAATGATCAACTCATGGCCAACTTTGTTTCACCTATATCCGCACCATGCCCCCACACATCCATATGGTTTTGAAACAAATCTATACATCATATTATTTATCTATAAGTAGTTTATCTACTCACTTTTGATGCAAACATACATTTTAGATATATTAAAATATAAATGTAAGAAATGAAATCATGAAATAACTTAGAAGAAATATATGAGAACTGCTTAAAATCTCAGAAAGAGGAAAGTTTTTCTATGCTTAGAAAGTATGTGTAAGTTATAAAGAAAAGATTAATTTGGCAATATAAGATGGGAGATGCTTTAAAAATACTAAAATCAAATGACGAATTGAATTTTTAAAATACTTCAAAGGACTTATTTCCTCAATATACAAAGAGCTCTATAAATAAATAAGAAAAATAAATACAGTGCAATGAAAATAATGAAGGATATGCAAAGACAATTTATAGAAAGGGAAATGCAAATGACATTTAAAAATTTATGGCATTGTCAAATCTATACTGAAGTAGAGAGACTAGTATGAAGATTCCCCCTCCCTGCTATAAACCTGTTGCCCTGCTTCAAGAACTATCAACAAATGGCCAGTCTTGTTTCATCTAAACACCACCCCTTAGATTATTTTTTTAACGCCCACATATATCACTTTTTATAAATACAATCAATTCTTGTTATTTGCGATAGCGATAGTCTTTAGTCTTCATTAACCGTGAATTAGCAAGTACTCGATCCTTGCTCCTGAATTAGCAAATACTCGAAACCTAACCTCACAGGATTAGGTCCCTTTGAGCTTCTAGCTGCAACATTTTTGTCAGGTGATCGACACATAACCTTGTTTCTGTTTAAAGATACCATATTTAATCCACATTGTTGATTAATTAACATAGAACTCACAGCCAACAGCACTATAATGTATGCCTTAAGGAAGCTTATCTAACGTATGTGTTTTCTCCATAAGGCATATCATCTTACACTTGAAACACTAGACAGCACTACCCTTGGGAACCATTTTAAATAGTGAAATCACTGATAAGCACAAAAATTTTAAAATGTGGCACTAAATAGACTGCCAAAAGGACACTTGTTTTACATTATGAGAGCAGAAACAAGAAGGCAGAAGGTGTCTTATTCAACATTAGCTAGAAGTGTACACATTGGGTGGCTCAAATTTTTCACCTCTTTGGACAGGTCTGTAGATAACTATGAAAGCTCTCCAAGTATTTTAGAGTTACAAATAAATTTTAGCAAGTAGGCAAATTTGCAAATGCAGAATTTGTGAATAATAAGTATTGACTATTTTAGTATGTATCTCTAAGGACTTTTTATTTTTTTAGCAAAACTACAATATCATTATAACACTTAGAAAAATAACAATGACAAATAAATAATACACTCAATTTAATTCACAAAAAGAGAAATACAAATCAAAACTGCAAGGAATTACCATTTTTCACTTATTAGATTGAAATATCAAAAAGTTTGATAATGCCATACGTATAAGTCTGTATCCTTTATCTGAAACCTTGGGGTTAAATGTGCTTTGGAATTTAGAATTTTTTGGATTTTTTAAAGCTTATTAAGTACACGTACCATATATTATGTAGGTAACATCCTCTGCAGGCTATGAGATATTACCTTGTAATCACTATATTGATATTCAAGAGCAAACTATGAATATTTCCACCAAGGGGACTAATAAAGACTATAAATAGTCTCAGATCAGTTCAACTCAGATATTGTTGTCAATGGAGTCTAGGTTAGGTCAGGTATACCAAAAGAAAAAAACAAATTTACACTTTAAAGCATTAGAAGTTTCATAATTGTGAATCGAGGATCGGGGATTGTGGATATATTAAGGGGATTATCAGGAAACAAGCATTCCTCATATATTATTGGTAAAAGTATAAATAGATACACCTATTCTTTGGAGAGCAGTTTGGCACTGTCAAAATTTTAAACGCACATACACTTTGATCCAGCATTCTCATTTCTTCTTTTGCCCATACAAATGTATTTCTTATGTGCGCAAAAATGTTAGGTTTACAAAAGTATTCAGTGCAGCTTTGTTTATGGCAGCAAATAAATTAGCAGCAACTTAAATGTCTGTTAAATAAAGTATGGTCTGTTTATACAGTAGAACCATTAAAAAAAGAAATTTTATTTACTAATCTGAGATAATCTCAAAGATAAAGTGGAGTAAAAGAAACAAGATGCATAACATTATGTTTTACAAAAAAAAAAAGATAGCTTTGCATGTTCTTGTGTGTGGTATATAGAATATCTCTGAAAGGATATATTAAAAACTAGAATAAAGGATCACCCTCATGGGCATAAACTAGAGGCTGGGATGTAGTCATCCTTTGGTATTCTTCCAGTTGCCGTGTGCATGTGTCACCTTTTGTTAAACTTAATCTCAAAATATAGTAGGATGATGACTCATCTTTCCCCCATACTCACAATCTTACTTCTTTCTAAAAATAATAATGAATTTATATTTTTCTAATATCCTTTTATGTTACATATATTACATGTAAAATCTAAAGCAAATGGTCTACAGCCAGGCTACCCTAATCCCGTCAGATCTTGGAAGCTAAGCAGGGTCGGGCCTGGTTAGTACTTGGATGGGAGAACACCTAGGAAGACCAGGTGCTGTAGGTGTAAAAAATAAATAAAAAAAAATAAGGGATTGTAAACTGACAAGGTCCTTGCAATCTGTGAGGTCAACCAAGGGTTGCCTTGCCTGAAAAAAAAAAAAACAAAAACAACTAAATCAAATGGCAGAACTTTTGCTCCTCACCAATTTTACCAATAAGTGTTTACAGACAAATATTTTTTATTTCTGTACCAAGTCTCTGCCTCTTAAACCGAGTTCTCTCTGTAAAACTGCTCATAAAACCATAACAGTGCTTTGGAAAATACTTAAATTTCTGCTTCTACTAACTGAAAAATAGATACGTATAATTACTGAACATTGCCAAGAAATTTCTTCTACAGATAAAATGAATTGTTGATATTTATTTTACTGACTTTACAGTTTATTGAGATGAGTTATATTCAGTTGTCATTTAGTAAGTAATTTTCATGTGCTTGATTATAATAAAAAGTAAGTCTACAGCCATGCTACCCTGAACATGCCCGATCTCATCTGATCTTGGAAGCTAAGCAGGGTCGGGCCTGATTAGTACTTGGATGGGAGAGCATCTAGGAAGGCCAGGTGCTGTAGGTGTTAAAAAAAAAGTAATAATTCAAAAGATTTTATTTCTCTGTCTTTTTCTTTTTAGATGGAAATTCCTTCTTCTAGCATTATAAATCAGTACATTGCTTGTCAAGGGCCATTACCACACACTTGTACAGATTTTTGGCAGATGACTTGGGAACAAGGCTCCTCTATGGTTGTAATGTTAACCACACAAGTTGAACGTGGCAGAGTAAGTCATATTTGAATTTTACACATTGCTTGGGCTTTTGTAAATTACATTGCATATACTGTTGTCAAAATATTCACATCAATTTAGGTTTTTGGTTTTTGTTTTGTTTTGTTTTGTTTTGTTTTGTAACTTTTAAATCCACAGAGGACAGAAAGTAGATTAGTAGTCGTCTAGGTCTAGAGTGGATTTAGGGGGATGGGATAGAGGAATGCACAATGATTACTAATGGTTATGGGATTTATTTGGGGAGTGATGAAAATGTTGTAAAAGTAATTGTGGTAATGGTTGCATAGCTCTGTGAATATACTAAAAACAGTTGAATTATGTACTTTAAATGGGTGAATTGTATATGAATTTTATGTCAATAAAGCTATTTTTTAATTCTAATTATGAAAATAAATGGATTATGTTTGGGATTTTAACTGAAGATTCTTTCTCATTAATTTAAATCTAAAAAAAATACCAAAATGAGTGCATTATTTTGCCATCCTCATAGTAGTAATCGATACAGGCAAGAATTAATCACAAATGGTAAAACATTGTGTGAAAGCTTATTGTAAACAGGATATTTGCAGTCTCAAAATATATCCAAACAAGTTATTACAGAAAGAAAAAAATAACAAAGGAGAAATGTTAATAGTTGGTAGATCTAGGTAAAGCATGTATGAGAGTTCATTAAATTATTCTTATAACTTTCTGTAAGTTTGAAAGTTTTTAAAAATTAAAACATTTAAAAAATTAGAGAATCTAAATTATACATATATATATATTGAATCTATTGATTTTAGGTTAAATGTCACCAATATTGGCCAGAACCCACAGGAAGTTCATCCTATGGATGCTACCAAGTCACCTGCCACTCAGAAGAAGGAAATACTGCATACATCTTCAGGAAAATGACACTATTTAACCAAGAGGTGGGAAGGCAAGATATCCATTCATTAGTACTGCTATGTTCAAGGTGAAGGCTTTGAAAGCTGGAAATGTTTTTAGTCTGAGTCCTGGTTACTAGGAAGTATTAATTTTAAATTACTGAACTATTGGCTTCATTGGGATGCTCTGGAATTTCATAAAGTGTATTTTCCTACTATAATGTATTTCCAAGTTCTATAGGTAAATGAATGGTCATTGAAAAAAAATCTAATATATGAATATTTATTACTCTTAATACTTTGCCTGTTTATAAAAATTATCCCAGGGTGTGTTTGGTTATAAAGATTTTTTTCCTCCAAAAAATATCAATAAAGTATTTGCGTATCTGTTGAAATGGAAAGAACAATTGTAAGCTATCAAATTAGTTCCCTTTTTTAAAAGAGTAGAAGAGAGAAATTTCAGTGTCCTCAGTTTTAAAGGAAAAATATAATGGGCAGGACCCTCCAAGCAGATAGATTATAGCTTTTCTATTTGCTAGTTCTTCTTACTACCACCTGAATCACTCTCCTTGCTTTTGAATCCAGAGCCAGAAATGGAAACTAATTAATATACGATAACCCATTTGGAAGATGTGTGTAGAGGACAACACACTGCCAGTCATGTCAGGCTGATAGAGACAGTGCACCCTACTTTCACTGCTTGCAGCTATATATTCCCCTGCCACCCACCTTTGGTTTTGAAGAGGACTGAGGAAGAAAGAAATAATTGCCAGAGAAGAGCAAACAGTACAGACTATGAAGACTCAGGGCTAGCCCATCAATGGTTAAGCCTTTAGATATGAGAACTCCAGTTCCCCCTTATCTCCACCTCCTGAGTATGAATAAAGGAGCCCAACAATACTGAGCCATACAGCTTTACTGGCCAAGAGAGAAGGAGCTAGCAGTTGTGAATAAAGCTAAATTTACAAGAAATAAAAAATAAAGTTTCAAAATCTTAGGAGCTAGAGATTCCACCAGAATGAATTTAGTGTTTAGGGACATATACTGCATAGCTCATGGTCTGACATAACAAGGCAAGGCAATAAGATATCTCTTCATTTTCTCAAGTAGATATGAAAGACAGACTGTATATGATTACATAAAATAATATTTGTATCTTCAGCATAGTTTCTTTATTGTACTTCACCTATAGATTATCCAAAGCAGTTTTATATACTATAGTAGCTTTTCTTTGCAAACCCTGAGTACCTCAGAACTATGCTAAGATGCAATTAGTTTCTAAAGTTTGACACAAATAATTGGGAAAATAAATTTACTATTATAAATACATACATACATGGATGGAGAGACAGATGGTACCCCCAAAACTCAATAAAATATGATTTTACATTACACATTCTTATAGGTTATTGGTACCATTAAATTCTTTTGTTATTAATAATAATTAAAGGTAGTCTATATTAGATACCTCCAATTTATTTTACAGAGTTACAGAATTCTGAAAAATTCATGATTAAATTATACTGTAATATCTTTGAGAATTCTTTAATTAGTTCCTTTCTTAATTATCTCTTACTTTCATAGCCTTTTCTGGAAACTCCCTTGAATGTAAACAATAACCAAATTCATTGTTAAATGACTGTAGCTACCAATTGTTGAGCATATGACTTCAAACAGCTGATTGGGAGATTGACAGTTTCTCTCTCTCATAGAATCCTTTCAATATAAGACTGTCCCTTTGAGGTATAGATGTTATTTTATTTTTAAGTGAGGCTCTGGAATATTAAGTGCCTTAAATGTCAGAGTTGAGATGTATAAATCCATTATCTTTTTCTCTATTATACCAACTCTTGGCTCTCAAAAAAGAATTAAGCCCTGATTTGACTTTATGTTTTAATGATATTCAGTTGTTAATCTACATTTATTTTGAGATTTTATTTTCCTGATTTCCATGTTTTGTGTTTTTAAGGATTAGCCCAATTTTTTCAAAAAAACATTTTTGTAGTGTACCATTTTTGTTCACCCAGCAGTTCTTTAGTTTTCATTAAACATTATTCTAGAACTTTACTTGTTTTTGCCTGTTTACTTGATTATCATCTTTAAAATACTTTACAAATATAAGAATTGAGTTAGAAGAAGAGTAATGATCGAAGTAGCTGATACTTAAATGGATACAACTGTTTCTTTAATACAGTTTCCTTTTTTGTTGAAATTTTGGGTTTATTGAGTGTATAACTTTCTGGAGAGGTAGTGGGAGTAGTTTCTTTTGCTTTTCTTCTAAAATTAAAATGAAATGAATATTTATATTTTAAAGATAATCCCTAAGTCAAGGTGCATAATTTTTCATTTACACTTAGAAAAATGAGAGTCGTCAACTCACTCAGATCCAGTACATCGCCTGGCCTGACCATGGTGTCCCTGATGATTCAAGTGATTTTCTGGATTTTGTTTGTCATGTACGAAATAACAGGGCTGGCAAGGAAGAACCTATTGTTGTTCATTGCAGGTATTCTATTTTCTGTTTTTATGATTGAATAGCTGTCTGACTAGATGTCATTTTTTAAAGGGAATATGTATTTTATTTTGTCTTTAAGTTGTAATTTTCACTATAATTAGAACTCAAAGCTATGCTCTGAAGATAGAAGGCAAAAACAGTATGTTCCAGCTGATTGGCGGAAAGATTTTTTTATCATAACAAATAAAAATAACACTTTATTGCACTGATTCTTAGAAGCTTGTTTTTTTCACACTCGAACATCTCTGAACTTGAAATGTGTTTTATAAATGATGGTATCTTAGACTTGATGAAATACAATAAGGTAGACATTTGGTTGCAGCCTAAGGTTTAGATTTCCCCCGCCCAGCAAGATACTCCTTCCTGACCTGTGGCCCCTCAGGACATTTGGTGAGTATTCTCATCTCTTGAAATGACCCTACCCAATACCATCACAAGATAAGCCACTTTTAGGAGCTCCAGTAAATAGTGGTAGGCTGTCCTCCCTTCCTTTCATACTTGTGTCCCCTTTTGCTCTTAAAGGGCCAAGTACAATGACTCCAGCCTTCACTGCCACCAAGAGATTAGGAGACAGAAATTATTTTCTGCCTGCCCTGGCCACCTCTGTTATTAAGTGATTTATTCAGAGGATGTGTTGAGCTATCGCTTTATCCTTAAACTTTCCTGCACTTTTTAAGCACAGACTTTAAAATCATCAAAAACAGATTGTAGACCAAATATTTGAGAGAGAAAATGGCGGGATGGGTGAATGAATTTGGCCATTTTATATCCTAAGTCCCCAATATCCACTAAGCCGTGTTTACAGAGAATACTTCAAAAAGTTGTTCTTGACTACCTCAGTGGTAAAGTTTAATCAAAATTAAATTTGGCTTTAAAAACTGATTTATTTGAGTGTGTAAAATACTATATCTTTTGTGTTTGTTAGTGACAGATTATTGTAGTTCTTTTATTTTATATTTTAAAGCAGGTTTGCTCCAATAAGCTTCTATATCTTGTTCATATTTTAAAAACTAAAATGTAACTCTTTTAAAATAGTATTTTTACAACTAACAATGGGAAAGGCATGGATTCAAACCATTTTAATCTGTATCAAATGTGAAATTTTTTCAATTTTGAAAATATCTAGTTGGCCTGCTAGAAATCAAAGTTTTTCTTCCGCTATATTATGATTCAGTACTTTAATTTCCTGCACAAAAGTTTAATGGAATGGTATCAGTAAGACCTTGCCCCATATTTGTCTTTTTTAGTGCTGGAATTGGAAGAACTGGAGTTCTTATTACTATGGAAACAGCCATGTGTCTCATTGAATGCAACCAACCAGTTTATCCACTAGACATTGTAAGAACAATGAGAGATCAACGAGCCATGATGATCCAAACACCTGTAAGTGCTGTACCTCATGTATAAGTGTGTATTTTCAACATGGTGGTTTTTGTTATCAATGTATATTCCAAACCATATTTTTACCTTTTTAATTCCCTGCCAGGAGCTAATAAGTTCTAGCAGAGGGGTTATCAAATACTGCCGATGAGCCAGATCTGGCCTGCCACTTGTTTTTGTAAATAAAGTATTATTGGAATATAGCTATGGTCATTTATTTACATATTATTTATGGCTGCTTTCACACTGTAATAGCAGAGTTGAGAAGTTACAACAGATACCATATGATCTGTAAAACCTAAAATATTTACTATCTGGTCTTTTACAGAAAATGTTTGTCAACACCACCCTAGCATGTTAAATTTTGAGTGCTTAAACTGGCACAGAGGAACTTGCTCGGTATTACTTAGTCAAGTGGAATGCTGAGGACAGTAGTATCTCTGAACTGGAGAATCTTGATAGACCTGCTTTCAGCTGTGGTGAAATTGCCTTTCTTTTTTACATGATAAGTTAAATTGCAATAACAACAAAAGTCATAGAAATTAAGCTACTAACTTATTGTATTCTCCACTGACTCTGAATAGTGTTCTAGGAATCAAAAGAAAAATCACAGAATTATAGAATTAATGTTAAGATTAGTTTTTCTGCATTAGCCATTGTGAAATGCTAGCATTGTTGGTGGCATTTAGATTACTGAAAGTTGACCTATATGATCTAATAAGTGCTTGTCATTTTTTTAGCTTTAAATTATGGAAAATTTTAAACAAAAAAAAGTAAACAATATAATAAACACTACTATGTTGAGTACTCAGACCCAACAACATGTGCCATATTATTTCATCTATACTGCTACCTGCTCTCCCCACATTTGAAGCAAATTCTAGACTTCATATAATTTTGTCTATAAAAATATTTTAGCATGAATCTCTAAAAGATGTTTTTTCTTCTAAACAAACCACAATACCATTATCATATCTAAGTATAATTAACAATAATTCCATAATAACATCAAATAACCAGTATTCAAATTTCCAGTTGTCTCATATAATTCATATTTTTAAATTTTAAAAAAGCCCTATCAAAATGTAATATACATACCATAAAATTTACCCTTTTAAAGTATAAGTTCAGTGGTTTTTATTATGTCACAGAATTTTGCAACCATCTTTACAATCTAATTTTAGAATGTTTTCATCACCCCAAAAAGAAACTTTATACCTGTTTTCCCTTATACTTTCTCCAGTCTCCCCCTGGCCCAGCCCTAGGCAACCACTAATCTACTTTGTCTCTATAGGTTTACCTATTTCATATAAATGGAATCATGCAATTCGGTCTTTTGTATTTGACTTCTTTTAATTAGCTTAATATTTTAAGGTTTATCCATTCTGTAGCATGTGCCAATACTTCATTGCTTTTTTTGGCTGAATAATATTCCATTGTATGGATATATCACATTTTGTTTATCCATTCATTATCTGTTGATAGACATTTGGATTGTTCCCACTTTTTGCATATTATGAATGATGGCACCATAAACATTTGTGTATGTTTTTGTGTCAAAATGTTTTCATCTTCCTGTACCCAGAAGTAGAATTGCTGGATCATATGGTAACTGTTGAATCTTTTAAGGAACTGCCAGATCGTTTCCAAAGTAGCTTTGCCACTCTGCAGTTCCATTAGCAGTGTATGATGGCTCTGTTTTTCCACACTATCATCAAAACTTGCTATTATATTTTTTTATTTTAGCCACTTACTGAATATAAAATGTTTATCTCAACGTGGTTTTGATTTGCAATTCCCTAATTAATGATTTCATGCATCTTTTTATGTGCTTATTGGCCATTTATTTGTATATAGTCTTTAGAAAACTGGTCAAATCTTTTGCCCTTTTTTCAATTTGGTTTTTTATCATTTCATTGTTGAGTTGTAAGAGTTCTTCCTATTTTCTGAATGTAAGTCCCTTATACATCTATGGTTTGCAAATATTTTCTTCCCTGCTATTCTTTCACTCTCTCGATTATGTCAGTTGAAGAACAAAAGACTTCAATTTTGATGAAGGCCAGTTTATTTTTTTTAATCACATACGTGTTTGGTGTCATATCTAAGAAATCGTTGCCTGAGAGTTTCAAATATTTAGTCCTCTGTTTTCTTACAAGAATTTTATAGCCTAGTTCTAACAAATAAGGTCTGATCCATTTTGAGTTAATTTCTGCACTTTGGTTTGAGGTAGAGTTCCAGTTTTATTCTGTATGTGCATATCCAGTTGTCCTAGCCCCATTTGTTGAAAAGACTTCTTTTCCTATTAATTGTCTCTGAGTCTCCTGTCAAAAATCAGTTGACCACAAATATAAGGGTTTATTTCTGGACTTCCATTTTATTCCATTGATTTGTGTGTATATTCTTATGCTAGTATACTGTCTTAAACTATAGCTTTGTAATGAAATTTGAAATCTGGATGTGAATCTCCCAACTCTGTTCTTTTTAAAGACTGTTTTGGCTATTCTGGATCCCTTACATTTACATATGAATTTTAGAATCAGTTTGTCCTTTCTGCAGAAAAAGCAAGATCAGGATTACGTTAAACCTATAGCTCATTTGGAGGAGTGTCGCCATCTTAATGATATTCCATCTTCCAAACCATGAACAAAAACTGTCTTTCCATTAATATATGTCTGTTTAAATTTCTTTCAGTGATGTTCTGTAGTTTTTCAGTATGCGAGTCTTGTATGTCTCTTGTTAAATTTATTCTTAAGTTTTTAGTTTTTTTGGTACTACCCTAAGTGAAATTGTTAATTTCATTTTAAGACTCTTCATTGCTTGGGTATAGAAATAAAATTGATTTTGTTTATCGATCATGTATCCTGCAACCTTGATGAAATCATTTATTAACTCTAATAGTTTTTTTGTGTGTGAAAGTGGATTCCTTAGGAATCTCTATACACGAGATCATGTCATCTGCAAATAGAAATAGTGTATATCTTCCTTTCCAATTTAGATTATTTTTTTCTTTTCTTCTTCTTGCCCAAGTGTCCTGGCTAGAACTTCCAATATAATGTTAAATAAAGTGGTGAAACCAGACATCCTTGTCTTGTTCCTGACCTTAAAAGGACAGCTTTAGATTTTTACCACTAAGTATCATGTTAGTCATGGGTTTTTCATAAATGCCCTTTATTAGGTTGAGGAAGTTTTCTGCTACGAGTCCATTGACTGTTTTTGTCATGAAAAGATACTCAGTTTTGTCAAATGCTTTTTCTGTGTCTGTTGAGATGATCATGTGGTTTTTGTTTTTTATTGTATATTACATTGATCGAGTTTTGGATATTAAACTAACCTTGCATCCCTGGGATAAATCTTACTTGGAGATGGTATATAATTCTTTTAATATGTTGCTTCATTTGATTTGCTAGTATTTTCTTGAGGTTTTTGTATCTACATTCACAGAATAATTTTTAAAATTTTTAATTGTAGTAAAATACACAACAAAATTTACCATCTTAACAGTTTTTAAGTGTACTATTCAATAGTGTTAAGTACGTTCAAACTGTTTTGTAACCAATCTCCAAAATTTTTTCATCTAGCAAAACTAAAACTCTATCTATTAAAACAACTCTCCATTCCCTCTCTTCCCAGTCCCTGGCAACCACCATTCTACTTCCTGTTTCTATGAATTTGGCTACTCTAAATACCTCATATAAGTGGAATCATACAGTTTTGTTTTGTCTTTTGTAATTGGCTTACTTCACTTAGCATAATGTCTTTGAGGTCCATCCATATCGTAGCATGTGTCAGAATGTATTTTAAAGCTGAAAAAGACTTCATTGTGTGTATTGACCACATTTTGTTTATTCTTTCATCTGTCAATGGACATTTGGGCTGTTCCCACCTTTTGGTTACTGTGAATAATACTGCTGTGTACATGGATGTATAAATCTCTTTGAGACTGTGCTTTCAACTTTTTTTAGATATATGCTCAGAATTCAAATTGCTGGATCATATCATACATAGTTTTGTTTTTGCCTTTACAGTGTGTGTAAAGTCAAGATTCAGATATGGTCCACACATTTTGATTGGTTTATATGTCTCCTAAATCTCTTGTAATCTATAGCTTCCTCCTATATCTTTTTCTTGCAGTTTATTTCATGAACAAACAAGATTGTTTGTGCTACATAGTTTCCCACAGCCTAGATTTTGCTTATTGCCTTCTCAAGGTGGTGGTCTCTGTAAGAGGCACATAATGCCTTTCTTATTGTGATGTTAAGCAGCCTTTGGTGATCAGTGTGTGCATCATTCATTGGGTTTTCAAAATGATGATATTCTATCATTCTTTATTCATATATTAGCAGAACAGTTCTTTAAAGAGGAATTTTTCATCTGTCATTTGGTTAACCAGTGGTACAGTCTATATGGAAACATTTGATGTTTTCCCTTTATTTACAAGTTTTCAGTATAATGAGTTGATTCACTTGCCTCTCTCAGTAGCGACTACTTACTTTTGTTTATTTTGGTATTATTTTGAAATCATGGATTTATACATATGTGATATAGTTCAACCCTTTGTACTTATTATTCTTAATGATGCCTAAACTGGCTTATTTTTGGCCAGTGGGAGCCTACTCAGCTTGGTTCCTGAGCCTTTTTGTCAAGGCCCTAGTAACTTTGATAGCTTCCTTGCCAACAATAAAGATGTCTAAGCCCAACCTTTTACACTTCCTGCCTCAAACTTAGAATCTGGTTCTTTTTATTGAGAAATTGTTTTAGGCAGCACCTGTGAGCACTAGGGTGTTTTATTGCTTTTGGGTTAGTGTTAGCATTTGTCTCTAGAAATCTTCAATTGTCAGAGGTAGGAAAACAAACTTATGAATTAATACTGGTATTTCCAATACAAATTCAGGACCATAGTGTTTTTACTTAACATCCTCTACCTTACATCTTCATCCCCTTTCTCCTTTAATAAAAATGCTGGTTCTCTACAATACCAGCAATGAAAGACTTAGAATGTCACAAGTACTCATTTGTTTTACTCCACATTATACGACAGTCTCAGAATAACCCAACTAACACTACTACCACCAGTAGTATGGTCTGAAAAGAATTTTCAATTTTTTTCCACAGTTCTTTTTGCTTTTTGGATATATTCTACAAGAGATACAGTCAAATACTATTTCAAAGTTCCTTGAAATTGCTCCTCTCTATGTAGTTATGACATGAACGAGATATATACCTTGATCCGTTGCATGTTATTTTCAATTTATAGAGGTTTTTTTTAAGTTAATGGTCTAAAAGGGTATATTTATATGGTTCCAAAGTAAAATCTATAAGATAAGAAAATATATTCACTGAAGTCTAATCTGTCCTTCTCCTGTACCTTTCTCCTTCCTTCCCCTTATAGGAAATCATTTTTTAATTATTTATCCTTCCTTTGCTTTTATTAAAACTTATATATTGAGTTAGATAGATATTTGTATCTGCTCCTCTTTCTTAACATAATATATTGTGTGCAGTTTTCTCTACCTTGCTTGTTTTACTTAAGAAAATAATCTGGAATCATTCTGTAGTAGTCTGTAGACTCTTCTTCCTCCCCCACCACAGAGTATTGCATTATGAGGACATGCCACAGATTACTCACCAGGTCCTTTCCTGATGGCAATGTGGATTGTTTCTACTTTTTTATTATTATAAATAATTTGATAGTAAGTAGCTTCATTTATGAATATGTTTTCAATTTCTTTTTCTAGTTTATCTTCAAATAGATTCCTAGAAGTGAGATTGCTGGGTCAATAGATTAAGTTGATGCAATTTGTCATATGCTGCCAGATTGCCATCCACAGGGATTGGGGTAATGGTAGGGATACTAGAATGAGTTTTGCCAACAAAATACGTTGTCAGACTTTTTTACTTTTTGCTATTCTGTTCATGAAAAACGATATCTCTGTATAGTTTTACTTTGCATATCTTTTGTAAGTAAGCCAAGTGAGTTATTTGTCATATTTTAATTGTTTTCCAGTTTTTTCTGATCAGTTCTATTTTTTATATTTTATTTTTCAGAGTCAATACAGATTTGTATGTGAAGCTATTTTGAAAGTTTATGAAGAAGGAATTGTTAAACCCTTAACAACATCATCAAATAAATAAGAAAGCAAAAGACTTGGGATATGTGTTGGAAAACCGCTTTCCATTGTATTCACTATGCCATAATACTGCTTGCAGGAAATGGCATCTAAACAAACAAACAAAAAAAAATGAAGAACTAACAAAAACTGAAAACTTCAGCACTGTTGCACTTTATGTTTAAAAAGTCACTCTTTCAAAACCTATAATTCATGTGTTTGAAGACTATTTCATGCTTTGCTCCGAACACATAGTGAATAACTGAGTATGTTCAGGGTAATTTATGAAATTTTGAGGTGGTGCCATGCAGTCCCCTTCTGATAGAATTGCCACAAACAAGGCTCAGAATTCTTATCATCTCTGTTACACACTTGTATTTTGAAAGCAAAAAGAAGTAAACATCAGAAGTCAGCTCTGGTGTTTTCCAGTGATTCACGTACTTACTATTACTGATTATCAGATTTTATTTTTTAA